TTTTGAAGGGGTGCCGAAAACAGGCCTTAGGGACCCTCCTCCTTTCTTACAATCAGTATTCAGAGCTCGAGTGTATTTTTTAAATATGACATGACATATACAAATTAGACAAAGAAATTCAAAAATAATCGTTGACCGAATTTACAAATTTATTTGTTTAGTGAACATCCTGTATAATAAGGCACCTAAAATCTCCGGTATGTTAATTTCTACATAGACTGGATTTTAAACACTATTGTTATGGGCGAACCCCTCGTGCAGCTGTTACTAAGCGGGACCACCTGAAATGTAAGACGCCGCGGGAGCCTTCTCGGAATGCGCGCAATGTTACAAAAAAATTTCATACAACAAGGCTAGCAGATATTAGCAGTTGGTTATTGCGAATTTTAATTGCCAATAGTATAAGCTATAAGAGAGGAAAAAAAGAACGCGGGATCTTGCGGGATCTGCAACTAAAAGTCTACACAAAATAAAAATTAAATTGAAACAACAGGAGCTATGTCGGTCCATCGTTATACGTCCATTAAACAAACACGGTAATTGTTATTTAAAAATTATACAAGCAAAAAAAAAATATTCTACGTACCTCCAGGAAGAGCATCCATTTTGCAGAATTTGTTTATCACTTTTACTTTAAAAGTTATTCACTTTAAAAGGAGACTGAAATTATTGACGAAAAACGTCTATCGTCAGCGAGAGTCAACTTTGAACTAACATACCTGCTTGATATAAAATAGTGGAGGACTGAGGACAATGGGATTCTATGGGGAACTTAGAACATACCTGGAAGGGAAATTGCCTATGCTGCCTGTAGGCCGAAAGTGTCTCCAATAGGTATCTGTGCGAGAGAGAAAGGTATACATGGGATGATTGTTCTGTGCGCATGCGTTGAGATCGTTTCTCAATTTAATCTCAATCCCAATTCGTTAGTCTGAGGGCCGGCACTTCGACCAAACTTCGATTAACTTAGTCGTTGATTAGTCCATTGGAAATGATCAATCGCATTTGCTCATTAAACAGATTGACAAATGCGATTGGTCATTTCCAATGGACATGCATAATCAACGATTAAGTTAATCGGAGTTTGGTCGAAGTGGCCCTGATACGTGGTTTATAAATGACTTGAATTTTCTCTTCTTCTAAATCTTTCATCTATTTGCAATGCACAATTCACATTCTCAAATATAAGTAATTCTATTATGAAACCATTCATCTTCTACTAAACATTTCTCACATGCAAACTGAGAATTATGTGGCACACACTGCTTTACAAAGCTACTTGTGCATCTAAAATATATAATTTCTAACACAAAATGGAAATACTATTCCATTGCATTCAAAATCATTTTCTGCAAGTTCTGCCACTTCAACAATGTAATTATGGAGATAAATATCTAAATTACTTGGTTTCCCTCTACCGAAAAAGATACCGATAATAGGGTAAAAGTACCAATGCCCGGACATGTACCTATATCTGGACATCTTTATTATTTATCAGTATAACGCGAATTAAAATCAAAGATAAAAATATTTTTTCTTGTAGTTTGAAACTTTAGTTTTAGTATCCAAACATTTATTTTCATAAATTTATATTTTTTTAAAGGTGTTTGAGTTAGTGCGAGAAGGAATTTCGGCGAAAAGGCGAGAAAAGAATTTGAACAGAATTATAGTCTATAATTTTAAGTTTATAATTACAATATGTAATTTGGTAAAAATGTTACTTTATATACAGATTATTTACAAGTTGTCGAGTTATCGCGAGTCCGCGAGCCACGGAGCAAATCACGCGAGTCCGCGAATAATAGAATCGCGCGAGCTACGTACGAGATTTACCGATGAAAATCAGCGTAGACTAAACGTAAGCCGCGAAAGTCTTTCTATTTCGTGCGCGCTCGAAAGGAATTCTAACACTTTTCTTTGTTACGAGACGTAGAAGCGAATGTTCTCAGCGCGCGGAGGATCGGAGCTTTATCAATTCGAACTTTCGAACCCCCGTTCGCGCTCCGAAAAATACGTGGAGCCAATCGGCTATCGACGTCCCGAGACGTACGCGATTGTGCAAATTTGAACTACTCAGCTGTTCTCGGGGTCGGTAACCGATCAGCTGTTTTAAGGAAGTCTTTCTCGTTGTCTCGGGTGTTTACTTTTTGCCCGGAAGCCCGGAGACAAAGGGAGAGAATCGGCACGAGCAGAAAAAGCGCGACACAATTTTTCTGTTTTTCGAAAATCTCGGAAACATATCGAATATTCTAGGAGTCGCGAATATATTTAGCCGTGAAATTTCATGTAAGATTTAAGAAAATCTAAGCAAATTTCCGAGAGAAATTCCTTATGTAATTTTATATTTTATAGGAGGATTAAGCCGTTCAATTTCGAACAAAAGGTATCCAGATATAAGTATACGTGTCCAGGGGCACTCATGGTACATTTTTATCTACTCTTAAGTGTCCCGGCATTGGTACTTTTACTTTAAATGGATATTTTTAATGCAGTGCAAATCTTCCGAGTATTGGCCAAAACTGTTTACTACAATTCTTTTGAAGGGGGTATTCCGTCTACATTCCACCAAATAATTAAGGGATCAAGAAAAATTGTCTAAAAAAAAAGCAAATTTTAAACAGTTATGACTTTATTAAAAAAAAATGTAAATCCAAATTAAAAAAAAAAATTTTAAAGCTTGAAATCTCTATTTTCGAGAAATCGCAGCTATTTTTCACTTCCTTTACTTACTATTAAGATTTTTAGATTTTCAATATGTGTTTATATAACAAAAACATGGTACAATACTATTCTCACACTATAATTCTTATATAACTTTGACTGTGATTAACTACCTTATTGTAAAACATTAATATAAGTTCAATTATGAATTATGACGTTGGGGATCATTAAATTCGAGCATATAAGATTTTTTTTATAAATATAAATATGTGAAATTAAAATATACCTTTTCAAGTATGCACACACAAGTTTTATTTTAAAATTCAAAATGTTTTCCTGATTCACCAATATCCCTCGACAATCATTATATTGATTATAAGAAAAAATAAATTCTAAAGTTTTATACTTATTTAATTACATTTAGTATATAAAAGTAATCCCACCTAAAAATCATTTTTTAAAATATTTTATACTTTATCCTGACCCAAATATTTTGATATAAGAAATGAAGTATCTCGTACATATAAAATATTAACTTTATGATAACTTTACTCCTTGGTACTTTTAGGCACAAAACAAGAATAGATTGACGAAAAAAATAGCGACTAAAAAATAACATAATAGCATTTAAAATATATTGTGTGTTTATATGTTTATATAAACCTATTATTTATGCATCAAATTCGATGCAGATATTTATCTGAAATATTTGTATTATAATATTAATTAATCGTAAATCTATGTTCTCTACTTACGATCATGTATTTCATTACGCGAGACTGAGAAGTCGATTGGCTTATTTAATCGATATATTCACACGCGCGTTTTGCCGTTTACTGCGAGGATCTTGATGATGATGGAGAAAATATTATAAGAAACTGTTGAAAAGCAGGTATTATAAAGGTTTCTCCACACCGAAGCAGTTTTCTATATATGATTCGTAAACTAAACTTATTACATTAACTTATTACATTAACAAAACGGTTATTTTAAATAATAAAATTATTGTTTATATTAACATTAATATTTATTTAGATCAAATTAATTAACATCACTATGTAGTAATTATACTATTAGATTTAACCAGAATAGTTGATTATATGCAAGTATTAATTAATGTCTCGCACTTATACAATAAAATAAATTTACAATAACGATGAAGAATTTCTTGTTTCGTATTTATTTGTTCAATACAGTAAATAAGATTGCAACGTTTGCTTTGCATTTTATATGAGAATAACTTTCTTAACGTATAAATATATTTAAAATGTTTAAATTTAATACTAATCTTTGTTGAAATTAACATAATAATATAATTTTATCTGTTACTAAATGTTAAGATTGAATAATTAAATTTGATTGCCGCAGAAAAACATTATGTGTATGAAAAAACGCAAATAAGAAACCTGATTACTAAGTAAACGTGAAGTAATAAGGAGTAATATAATTAAATTTGTGATTCGTGCATGCAATTATGATATATCTAACTATTATATGCTTAATCTGATTTAATCTAATAAACAATCAGTACAATTGTTATTAGTTGTTATTACTATACTATATTTAATTCCATAAAAATTGGTTAAATATTTAATGTTAATAAACATGAAATATTTTTATTTTCCAAAACTGTGTGGTTATCGCCGCGTATTCTAAAAATAAAACCAAATAACTATACCATTGGTGTTGCAAAACATTTAATTATTCAATCAATCGATTTCAAGCTTTTTAAAGCTTTCTTCAACTCCAAACAAATCCGTTGCTGTCTTCGCCTTGCCCGGTCGTAGCGCCTCATTAACGCGATGACCTTCTTCCTCTTGGAACCAAGCAACGTGATCTACCAATTTTTTGACTTGTTTATCATGTAACTCCTGTAGAGAACCGGCTTGACCGCCTGATTCATTCGGAAGAACTTCGAGCGGTATGAATTTCTCCAGAGTGTCGCTCGTGGTATGCATATGCAACTAGAATTTATAGAAACATAGTTCAAAACTTTTATACTTTTTTCATCGAATTATATTCCGCGCGCCTCACGCAATTTTTTCCAAAAATAAAAATATAATTAAAATACGTATTTATACATACGTATTATATACTCAGTAAAGAAGTAAAATACAATATCCCAAGTAGCAAAGATGACGTCTAAAAACGTCTTATTGACATCATAGACGTCATTAAAACGTTATTAAGATGTAATTTGACGTCACTTTGCTACCTGGAATTTCTCTTATCTCTTAGCATTTAAAATTATATTTTCGAAGATGCAGCGTTGTTTAATATATAAACAATTTGCTATATCAAATAGGAAATTTGATCTTTTCACTTTTTCATTTTTAATGTAATAATGTGGATAATTGATCGGTAATGTGTGTATATAATTTCAATCTTACCATATCCATCAATTGCTTTTTCATGAATGGTCTCATCATATTCATAATGACATCCATTACCGGAGAAGAATTCATAAAATGGAAACCTTTCAATCTGACAGGCAATCCTTCTTGTAGATAGTAGAGCCATTTCTTTAGGACCATAGGACTCAAACGGCCGACGTGACCGAAAGAAACGTTTTTCACGTCAAATAATATTATGTAGCCTTCGTAAGTGCCCTCAGTGTAAAGGCATAGATCGATCACCATATTTAGGAATTTCAACACATCGTTGTAAACAACATGCGATGAATCGCTGTCTAGAAGTCTTCCATAAAAGATTTTATAGCCTTCTTTAGTAGTTCCTTCCAAAACTTGCTCTGTTCTGTCGATAATAAGATCACTTCTACTTTGTATGCGAAATTTCTCTGCGAGAAATATTGCTGCATCCATTTGTCGTGTATAAGGAATACCACACACACACACATGAATGTAACAAATAATTAAAAAAAAAAAAGATTATAAATAATATACTTACACCGTTTCAAATGCTTTTTTGAGTTCCTTATTGTTATTAGGATCTCGATTGCAGAAGAACTCAGGTACGTGAGTCCTAACTGTGTAAAAAGTATCGATAGTAGTTTTCGTCGGTTCGAGTCGATAATAATTGCTATGCAAGAACAATGCTAATTCGCTGTCTGATATTTTGGGCAAGTGAGGCTGTTTTTTGCACCATTCTCTCAACATTTGAATATCTGCCTCTTTCAATTCAGGATTCTTCTTCAATTCCTCCTCGAACGACACTAGTTTTATCGAAGCCATCAATACTAGTTTTATCCAGCCACTTTGAATTTAAACTCCTATGGAAGTGAAAGCAATAACAATGTTGACAGAATTTGTTATTAACAAAACGTTTATTTCGTGCACAAGGTGGAGCAAGGCGACGCCCGGAGCAATTCGCGTACACGCGGGGATTTTCGTCCTTCTGACAAGGCCGTTCCGCGAATTGGATGTAAAAATCGGAGATCTTGCTCGCGGCCGACGAAGATCTTAATCGTGAGGCCGAGGACGATCGCGAGAATGATACGGGCGTCAGTTCACAAAATCACGGAACACTCAGTGTTATGGCCAGTCTACAATGAGTTATTAGTCGTTGTCAGATGTCGGAAGAAATAGTCATAAGCGTATCGTAAGGCAATCGGAAGTCTGAAATCGGTGATCGTAAGAGATGGCATTTAGCCAATCGCTTCCGATCGCCTTACGATACATTTATGACTTTTTCCGACTCTCTTCCGACATTTGACTAACGACTAACGACTCATTGTAGACTGGTCTTTACCGCACGCAAACGATTTTCAATCTTAGAACGGTTGACACGAGATTTTATCAAAGATCGTCAGCTCCCGTGCGAACGAGCCGACGATTCAAAGTCTTCTGCCTGCTCCGAAACTCTCCGTTCCGTGATCGCGCCGTGGAAAACCGAAGAACGCGCTTATTCGGTCAATCACGCGTGACTCTATTTTCAAGCGTTAGTTTTTCATTACAGGGTTGCTAATGCTCGCGCGTCGAGCATGTGCTACTGTTTGCGAGGCGTGGTGCTTCAACGAATAATCGCGCGCGACGCTCTTCGAAGCGCGTGATCGCGGCTCACGACTAAACGTTATCGGGCAGCGAATATCGACGAGTTTAAATTGTATGCCACACGGTATAGATAATATATTTCGTTTTGACTCAAACAATATCAAATGCAATATTATATTAACTTGTTTATGTGCGGAATCTTTCAAATAATGTATTACAATGTGTAGTTGAATGTAATCGAAAAATGATTGCGTGCCTAATAATTATTAATTCTTTGCAAGCCAACTTGTCTTGCACAATTGTTCGACTAAAGTATGATCATTTTAATGACAGCGAATGAAATATATACTTATAAGTTCCATATATCTCGGATATACGTGCTACACGTATGTGATAGAATTTCGGATGTCTCACGATCAGCCTGATGTCTTGGACAGTACTAATTGAGATCTGCATAGACCTTTTAAACTGTATATCAGTGGCGAAGCGGCAATAGAGAATGTAGCGTGACAGTTGAGTACGTTTATTAACGTACGTGACGTAAATGTGCAAATAGAAACTTGCACATTGCTTCCGTATAATTTTTAAGTGTACAAATTATAAATTTGAGCCTATTTTTTTATGTATAATTATTGGTAAATATTTATTAATTTGGCTTCCTCATAGAAAAAGCTTTAGGAGCGAAATAAAATGTTGATTAAGCAACGTGCAAATTTATAATTTGCATACTTGTAAATTGTGAGAAAATAATGTTCAAATTTACAATTTGTACTCTTAAAAATTATGAGAAAGCAATGTGCAAGTTTCTACTTGCCCACTTAAGGATGTATCACACGTACAATCTTAGACAAAAGTGCATGAAATTTGAAATACTTGAATATCTACGCCTAACGCATAGTAAATCTAGATGTAAGATACTCAAATGATAGTAGGAGTCTTATTTTTACTCCTAGAAAAGTATTTTTTACTTTATGAATGTTTTTTCCGTATTATTTGCGATTTTTGTAATTTATGAGCCTAAACTTTTGGCAGTAAAAATACCCTGATTTCAACTTTATAACGTCAAATTATTAATAAAATTAATAATTAATAATTAATAATTAATTAATTATTAATTATCATTAATTATTAATTTATTTCTTTAAAACGGTGTAGTGAAGACAATTGAAACTTGGCAGATATTTTCATCTATTCGTATACTAGATGTACAAAAAATTCAAAATATTGGTAGCGCTCCTTCAACATTTTTTTAGCTGTTTTATCCGCCAAAATCGTCTCTTCCCATAAGAATACGTGTAAAATCAGTGAAAATAAAATCGTTATATCTCAGCAACCGTTTAGTGGATTCGTTTCTACTTTTTTGTAGCACATCAGGAAGACTAAAGGTGCGATTTCATTGACGCTAGAAACCAGCGGCAGCGTCAAGAAAATGTAGTGGGGGAAGAAGTTCAGACCGTCTCAACTTTTTAGCGTACCGCAAAATTCAACAGAACTTCTTCCCCCACTACATTTTCTTGACGCTGCCGCTGGTTTCTAGCGTCAATGAAATCGCACCTTAAAAGAACATTCTCACAAATTTTTATCCACTTGGTAGCGCTTTGAAAATAGGTGCAATACATCCTTAAAAACTATGAGGAAGCAAATGTGCAAGTTTCTACTTGCACACTTTTTTATTGCGATAAGCTTTATTGCGATTAATATTTGTTATACTATTACAAAAATTAATTAAATAATTAATGTTTTTATTAAAATAATTCCTACTAATTGCAGATATTTCTTAATTTTTCCATTTTGTTTCATTTTTTATTTATACATTAGTTTTTTATTTCTACTTTAAAATAATTTTTTAAATATATAAAAAGTGATTTTATTACTAAAATTATGAAATAATAAATTAAAGGCACAAATGAAGTTTTACAATCGACACAATGTTAAATCGATGTTGACTTGAGTAGTTCAGGCTACATGGTCCATATATGGACTTGAGAGTATAAGACTGAAGAATATAACAGATTTAGAATTGAATAAATTGCAACTGGTTTGGCGCAATTTTTCTAATTTTATTATATTTTTAAGTTTTTTCTACCCGTATTTCATATATAATTCTTTAATATTTGGTTGATTAGTGCTTGAGGCATCCTGTCTTTTTATTAAGAACGTTCAATGAATTTATTTGATCGAAATCTGTAAAAAAAAACACTATTGCTGTTAAGGAGTATGAATGTGTCAAGAATTTATGAAACTTGACAAGTATTAGATGAAGTTGTAGTTATTCTTTAATTAAATAAAGATTAAATACTATTCTTTTTAAGGGGGCTTTCTAGGTCTATTTTGTTGAAAAATTCGATTTTCTAAAAACATCATTTTTGTGTACTATATATATGTAGAATTAGTGTACAAACACTTTTCGTTTTTTGATCTGGTTGACATGATATCTCGAGTTAGAAACGTCTGAAACAAAAAATTCAAACGGGATATTAAAATATAAGTAAGTGGCTATAGTCGGTACTAGAATTAAACATTTTGGGTAAAAAGAAACAAAATGGCGGACTTTTTTAGTTGCAAAAAAAGGGTCCTTGCTTACATCGCCATTTTGTCGCCATAAATAAGAAAAACAAAAAAAAATTTTTTTTTTATGTACTTCAATATATGTGAGAAAATATATAAAAGTTTCGAGATATTTCAATACATTTTACTTTGACAAAAAAATTCTTGAAAATATGTGCAATAGACCAAGAAAGCCCCCTTAAATTTAACACATCTTTGAGATACTGTGATGTAATTGTGTCTGAAATTATTTTTCTAATATCAAAATTAGTGGCTGCTATAATTTTGGTATTATAAGTACGGATCATGCCCCGATCTTGGCTTAATTGTCTGGATTATGGTCAAATCTTGGATTAATTGTCTGGATTATGCCCCAATCTTGGCTTAATTGTCCGGATCATGCCCCGATCGGCTGCGTAACAATTGATCTCCGACTAAATATCTTCGAGAAAATATCTTGGTCAAAATATTTCACCGACAAAGTATCTTGCGACTAAATATTTCGCCGACAGATAATTTCACAAATATGAACAATATAGCTGAACATAAGGCGTTTATTGCAAATTCACTTGGAAAGTTGTGAACCCATGTAGCACCTCGTTTCGCGTGGACAATGTATATGAATCATGTGAAGATGCGGTACCCCTCGCAGAACAAGAGATTAGATCTGCACTTTATCAGGCTGTGTCAATTAATGTACCAGAGCTGAGGAATGTAGATTTAATTAGAAGACAAACTAATCTTAAAGAAATGAACATAGATGAAATAAAGTCTTTTATGATGCAGTTAGAAGCAGAGACTAAAAACGAGAATAGAGAAAAATTAGAGAAACCCGAAGTCAGGGTACAGAGGGCTGCTGCAGAAGAGAACATGAAACAAGTGAAATGCTACAGATGCAACCGAATGGGTCATATGGCAAAGGACTGTCCACTAATAGAATTTGGTGCCTGGTTTTGTTACTACTGCCAGGAAGTACGAGGTCACAAGGGTGATAATTGTCCGAGTGCCGAAGCCCAGGCGAACAGAGCTAGAGGAAAAAGGTATTTAAATAAAACCGTTAATAAAAACATAAAGAAAAAGGGTAGATTTGTGCAAAAAGGCACAAAAAGAGTAGATAACAAAGGGAAAATAACCAAGATACAACCAGCTGAGAAACCTATATCAACAAAAACAGCAAATGAAGGAGAATCAGAAGAAGGTAAATAATACATGGTTAAATTAATAGAAGATAGAGATAGTTCAAAAGAGGTAGTCAATTTTACTGCAGATTCGGGTGCTACGGATCATATTGTGAATAAGAATTTTATTCTGTCAAAGTTTGAAAAATGTAAAGATAGAGTTATTAAATGCGCGAATAAAAATGAGCTTGCAAACATTTCAATAGATGGTAAAGGAAATCTTACGCTAATAATGAATGAAAAAGAAAAGAGAGTCATTAAATTAACAAATGTAATTGCAGCAAAAAAAGTATCCAAAAATTTACTATATCTAAGAAAGTTGGCTGATGCAGGGTTCAGTATTTATTTAGATGATAAAGTGTTTAAAGTTTACAATAAACTGACAAATAAAATAGTTTTTAAAGGAATTTACAGATGTAGAGCAGAAATTGTTCCACATAGTGAGCTTCCTGAACAATCGCAAGCAAACATTCAGACCAATGAATTATCAATTTCGGAGGGAGAGTTAGATGAGAGGGATAATGTTGGCTCTGCGATTGGGAGGGAGAATGAAGGAGAGCTCACAAATGTGAACGAAAATGAAAATATAGAACACAATAATGCTGAACTCGATCAAGTCATTAAGTTAGAAGATATACAGACAATAGAGAATATAGAAGAAATGTGTGAAAGCTCAGTAATTGAAAAAGTAAAGAAACTAGAGAAAATAAATGAGGTGATGTTATATGACATGTTAGATTAGGTCATGCATCGTTAAACTATCTAAAACAATTACAAAAAGTAGAAAAGAGATTAGAGAATGTAAAGTTTGATAACTTTATATTAGAGTGTGAAGTATGTATAATGGCAAAGATGGCAAAACTGCCGTTTAAAGAAAACAGAAATAGAGCACAGAGACCACTACAGGTAATACATACGGACATCATAGGTCCAATAAAACCTACATCCTATCCAAGACAAAAGAGGTTTATAATCACTTTTATAGATGACTATTCTAGATTAGCAAAAGCCTACTCTCTGAAAACAAAAGATGAATCGGGAGAGGCTCTAGAGAAATATCTTATATCAGCCAGAAATCTACTAGGAAAAGAAGAAAAACTATGCTATGCAAAGTCAGATCAAGACAAAGAAGTTGCAGAAAGGTTCAACAGAACGTTGAAAGAGAAAGTAAGAACATATATGCTCGACTCGGGATTACTAAAGAGTATGTGGGAGTTGGCAGTTGACGCTGCTGTGCATGCATACAACAGATCTCCACATAAGACTTTAGAGTATGAGATCCCGTTGAAGAAGTTTTCATCAGAAACAAGTTGTCATTTTGAACAAATAAAGAAATTCGGATGCATTGGATATGCAAGAGTACCAAAGCCTACGTCGAAATTCGACAAGACAGCTATTGGTGTGTTGGTGGGATATACTGACACTGGATATATACTATATACTCTGGTATCCAAGCACGAGAAAATTTATAGAGTCATGACAACAGAGCAGCAAGAAACTGCACTAATATGGATAGAAGTCACAAACTTAAAATGTTTGATGACGACTTAGAAAAAAATAAAGAAAGACTTAGAAGAAAAAGAAGAAACTGGAAACAGAAAACATATGGATGACACTCATGGAGATTTTATCAAGCAGTGTGTTGATTAAGGGAAGGTAAAAGTCGAATGGATAAAGACCAAAAAGAATTTGGCAGACATTATGACAAAACCTTTACCTCTAGAAGCATTTGTGTATCTGAGAGATAAAATAATGAATATAGAGTTTAGACAAAGTTAGAGATTAATTTTAGTCGATAACTAATTCTTGTTATGTTTCAGATAAAGAGGAAACTTAGAGAGGATCCGTGGATCGCTCGCCCAAAGGGAGGGAGTGTTGGGAGAAGACTTTGAACGAGCAATAAGTTCCCGCCATCTAGAGGGCAGCCCCCGGTTGGCGGCGCGACTCGGCGCGCCACGCGTGCGTGCGGGCATCAGTGGTGCTCACAAGAGCCTCGATCACCGTCGTGTTCAGACGTGTCGGTTACGGTTTAAGTTACACAGAGTGTGATATACTTATGTATAATAAAGACAGTATTCAGAGTGTACAAAGACCAAGATTGTTGTGTTCCCTGCTCATCTCACCACATTTCAAGTCGTCCCTGATGATATTTCCAATAGATACTAATCTCCAATGGATACTAATCTCCACATGGCTCATGAATCACATGTTTCATCACAACATTATGTAAATTTTTATTAAAAAACTTAAATAACAAGTGGTATCTATTAAATTAAAAAATAAATAAAATCTATTCTAACCTAGGTGGTAGTAGCTTTAATTTTTCTTAACAAAATTATTATATTACAAAATTGTTACTTTATTCAATCCAAGTGATATCTACCTAAAAAAAACTTAAATAACAAGTGGTATCTATTTAAAAAAAATATGTGAAATCTTTTAATACTGCGCCAATTACAAAGAGAGAATATATATAGGTATATATATGTATACATATATACCTTAACAAAATTATTATTATATCCCTGGTAACACAGTCTGATAGTTCAGATACGTCCCGAAGAAGTGCGCAAGAAAACAGTCAAAAATTGCGACAGTAGTGCATAATATCTGTGTTTAACGAGTATTTACTGTACTATTGCAGTAGTCTGCTGTAAGAAGCTACTGTATACTATTTGTTAAAAGTAAACATGCAGCAGAAATGTGAAAACAATATGGAAGTATCTGCCCAACAGAAAAATAACAGCAAATCGCGTTAGACTCTTCACTCGACTGCTTTTTGCAGCAGTTTTGAGTACAGATCCGACCGCCAGAAACGTGAAAAGAACGTGCAAGCATCTGCCCGTGAGAAAAAGAGCAGTCGAGTGTGCTAGA